CTGTGATAATAATTATTTTTAAAATATATTAAAATAATATTTTTTATTTATTAAAAATTATTTTTAATATTAATACATTAAAATATTTTTAAAATATATTTTTAAAATACACAAATAAATAGATTTTATTTATCATATTTTAAAATCGATAGTGAAGATTTAGGTTATAAATTAGAAGGATCAACTATTCAATTTAAAATAACTACAAAAAATAAATTTAAACAAAAATAACTCAAAATAACTTAAACGTGATTTTTTTCTATATTTTTCTTTAAGTATCTGATCTTATACAAACTTTTCATGTTAATCTGAATTTAAAATAAAAAATAGTTTTTAAATCTAAATTTAAATCGAACACCCATTCAATATTATTGTAAAACAAAAGAAAAATTAATAATAAAAAATACCTTCAAATAAACTCTATTAACTAGTGGCTAAACCCCATGAACATGAACGAAGGAAAGGAAAGGCATCATGTATCGTAGATTTATACTGGATGAAGGTAGACTTTTCTTCGCCACAGACACTCAAAATACTCGTATCTCTATACCAGTCGACAATCACGGCATGCAAGTTACCTGCCAGAGTTATCTAGATGGGAGTGCTATACTACACACATCCCTAGATAATTAACTGCTCCACGATAGGCGTCTGACTGCCTACCAAGCAACTAAAGAAACAGGTTAACATGGAAACAAATAGATAAATACGTGAGAAAACACTGTTTATATATATATAGATATTATGACCGGCTTATGAAACAATTATATTTTAAATGAAATTAAATAACTAATAAATTAATCTCATTATATATTAAATATCAAGCTCATCTTTTAATTGTATAAATATTCTTATAATAATATTTAAAAACTCGTTAAAAGAGCTCATATGCCATTATTTTCACCTAATTGACTACCAAAAAAGCCTTACATTTAACACTTATAAGAGTGTTTCTTCTAAATATAAAATAGACATTTTTTTTTATTATTTATTTCCAAACCATACCACAAAAAGTTTTCTTGTCATATTTATCATTATTATCGTCTATTCGTGTACAAGGAATTTACTTCAAAAACAGGAGAAACCTCAATGGAGTCTTTTAAGTGAAACAACTCTTACAATCTAACTACTCTGCCCTTGCCAGATTTGGTTACAATCCATGAATACAAGTTTACCTTATCGATTTACAAGAATTGGAGCAACTCCCGCATTTTGGGATGTCAACATTTTGAAGCTCATTGTGGGGGTTTTTTATA